TTCAAATAGTGTGAACACTGTACCCATTAATGCTATTCAGAAAAATGCATATCACTACTGGTTCCTTATATACCTTCACTGAAATTTAAACATATATAAATAATAAAATAATAATAATAAGGAGAAAAATGTATTTGTGACTACAAATTTTATTAAGGAAAATCACATAGTTAGAAAATAATTAGAAGTACTTGAAAGCCTCCATCTTGTCAGTGTCAAGCTGTGGCCACCATTCTGGTTTTGCTTTCAACATATGAACTCTCAGTAGCTTTCCTTCGGTCTCAAAATATATAAAAGATGACTTAAGCTCCCTCCAGAGCTCATAGTCGACCTTATACTTGATCGACTCATTATCATCTCTCTTGTCCACGATCCTTATTGTCACCTTGTTTTTTGCCAAGTACCCGTCAATTTGGAGATTACTTGGCAAATCGTCCGACAGCATCAACTCCAGATATACTTTTTCTCTACTTTGCCGCCATTGGTATGGCGATAGTGCAGGAATTGCGTTGGAATCCATCGCTTCTTTTTAGTAAAAGAATCGTAAAAAGATGCTTTATTTACAAAATTAGTGCACTTTCAACTTTTTTATCCTTCACAATTGGAGTCACTTGTTTTGGTTTCTTGGCGTACGTGCATTTCGTATTTATCCGTAGGCAATACACAATATAGATATGTCACTTTTTGGATTTTGAAGTTCAGAGAAAAATAACGGCGCTGTTATCGCAATTATTAAATTATTAAAATACAATAAATACACTCTTCTTTTATCTATGATACAAACTACATTTGTCAGAATCAGACAATACTAAATCTGTGGCAACTCCAAATGGAGAAAATTTTGGACTTGTATATAAGCGCTAATCATTTGCGTTTATGGGTTTATGGTTAATTTCCATGTTAGTTTAGTATTTTTCGAGAGGTATCTGTTATTCATGTGAATAAATACTTTTATTAATTGCAACTAGTGTTCTTTATTGTGTTTAAATTAACTGTAAATGTAAAATTTCTGTAAAAGGTTGAATTTGAGAGGTCTATCGTTAAAAAAAGTGTTTTATCTATAATTTATTTCAAAACTTTAAACGCGTTTTTCTCAATACACGATTTTATAACGCGGCACGCAAATTAACTACAACAATTTGAATGGTTTTTATTCGAATTTTTTACAGTATATTTTAAATTACATTTTCAAGTGCTTATCATAGCAGATTTTCTATATATTATAATTTGTTCACCAATTATTAATAAACTACTACCAGTTTTTTTCATTGAACTTCAAGGATTTTGAATATTGTGCTCGCCAAACAAACATAAATCGACATTTTTTAAATTCGCTATAGTGGGCACTTTAAAATGTTATCTTAAATATACTATTGAAAATTCGGATAAAAAAATTTAGAATTGTTGTAGTTATTTTGCGTGCCACGGATTTGAAGTGGCTCGCCGAAATGGCTGTGGTACCGCCGTTTTTAATTTTTTTTTACAATTATATTTTATTTTGTTACTTTAAAGTACAATAAATAATTATTTTTAGTATCGTGACTTTAATACTTTCCCTTCCGTCCGAAAAAAAATGACAAAAACATAGGTTTGTTTGGCTGCTACAGAGATGTAACCCCAAGACAAAAGGAAAAGGAAAATTCAATATGAGAAAAAAAAATCACAAAGATTTTTCTTGTTAACTTCGCTTAAAAAATTATATTTTGTTATACGTTATTCATAAGTTTTGTTTAAATGTTTATGTTGTTTTGTGTTTCATATTATTGTTATCATCGACAATAGAAGTCGTTATAAACCATTTTTGTGTTTTCCCTACTAACAAAAATCAAATATAATTATTTACTCGAAATTTTTCAATAATAAAATTATTTTATAATCCTGATTAAATGCGCCAACTTTTGATGAAACTTGCCAAAACACTTACTTCAGTATTTTTTTTTAACGATGGACCTCTCAAATTCAACCTATTACAGAAATTTTACATTTACAGTTAATTTAAACACAATAAAGAACACTGGTTGCAATTAATAAAAGTATTTATTCACATAAATAACAGATACCACTCGAAAAACACATTAAACTAACACGGAAATTAACCATAATCCCGTAAATGCAAATGATTAGCGCTTATATACAAGTTCAGAATTTTCTCCTTTCGGAGTTGCCAGAGATTTAGTATTGTCTGATTCTGACAAATGTAGTTTGTATCATAGATAAAAGAAGAGTGTATTTATTGTATTTTAATAATTTAATAATTGCGATAACAGCGCCGTTATTTTTCTCTGAACTTCAAAATCCAAAAAGTGACATATCTACATTGTGTATTGCCTACGGATAAATACGAAATGCACGTACGCCAAGAAATCAAAACAAGTGACTCCAATTGTGAAGGATAAAAAAGTTGAAAGTCCACTACTCTTGTAAATAAAGCATCTTTTTACGATTCTTTTACTAAAAAGAAGCGATGGATTCCAACGCAATTCCTGCACTATCGCCATACCAATGGCGGCAAAGTAGAGAAAAAGTATATCTGGAGTTGATGCTGTCGGACGATTTGCCAAGTAATCTCCAAATTGACGGGTACTTGGCAAAAAACAAGGTGACAATAAGGATCGTGGACAAGAGAGATGATAATGAGTCGATCAAGTATAAGGTCGACTATGAGCTCTGGAGGGAGCTTAAGTCATCTTTTATATATTTTGAGACCGAAGGAAAGCTACTGAGAGTTCATATGTTGAAAGCAAAACCAGAATGGTGGCCACAGCTTGACACTGACAAGATGGAGGCTTTCAAGTACTTCTAATTATTTTCTAACTATGTGATTTTCCTTAATAAAATTTGTAGTCACAAATACATTTTTCTCCTTATTATTATTATTTTATTATTTATATATGTTTAAATTTCAGTGAAGGTATATAAGGAACCAGTAGTGATATGCATTTTTCTGAATAGCATTAATGGGTACAGTGTTCACACTATTTGAAATAGCAATTAGATAATTTGTCAAACTTATATTATAGGATTGCAAAATTTAAATGCATATATCTAGACATATTTACATATAAATAAAATTGGTGCGGTTGTTATCATATTGAAGTAGCCATTTCAATATATGTAATGTCTGGACCGATTTTGGAGGTTCTCTTCTTATTGATGTAATTGGGCCTAACTTAGGAGCCATAATTCTTGAATAAAATAGAAATTTTAAGTTAATTACATTTTAGAAAAAACTAGTTAAAAGTGCATTTAGCCTTAAGACAAGTTGCATGAACTTACCATGCAAATAATATACTTAATCAATCCGACTTTAGAATAATCAATTTGATCTGTCTTCCACAATAAATTTTTATTCTATAAATATATCACTATCATTGATTATAAATAAAAAAAATTATTTTATAATTTTTTTTTAACTTTCCTTATTGTAATCGTCTAAAAATCGAAATTGAAAATTTTTAAATTTCTCGACGTTTTGAAGGTTTCTGAACATTTTGGCATACCTCAGAAAAAATGGATGTGTGTGTGTATGTGTGTGTGTATGTATGTATGGATAAAATTTTTCGTTTACGTTTGCGGGCGCATGGATCAACCGATTTGAAAGGTTCAAAAAGCATTCGATTCCTATTGATAGGGAGATGTGCTGATTAGTTTTGGGCAAAGGCATGTCCAGCCGTTTTGGAGATACGTAGCAAAGAGTGCAGAAAATAGAAATCGAGTTTTTGAGAGAACGGAGCATCCGATTTGAATGATCTAAAAAACATTCAATTTGTAATGACGAGGAGAAGTGGTGATTAGATTTTGGCAAAGGCAGGTCCAGCTGTTTCGGAGATAACGAGTTAAATGTGCAAAAAATGGAATTTTTTTAAAGAACCAAGCATCCGATTTGAATGATTTAAAAAAGTTTCTGCTTGTTTCAACAAAATAATTTTAATGTAATGTAATAATTTTTTGTGTATCGAAAATATGCGATTTAATTTTAATTAAGGCTAAAGTTCTAAAGCTCACTTATATACTTTAAATAAATAATTTTAACTTTGTAATTCAGTTTATATAAATCTTATAAATATTAGACAATGTTACACTATTTATAATAATCTATTCGAAAACATTTAATATTTTTCGAACATTTTGTTACTGTACGGGAAGTTCCAGCAATTTGCCTTAAAGCACGATGCCACACCCCACTAGTTTACTTTAATATTTCACGAATATATCAAGACTAACTGTTAGTATCGAGCACTATTTTTATATAGAGATTATTATATATATGCACAATCATAAATTGATTTTTAATGTAAAAAATTGATATTTGTAGAATTTATGTTAAAGTTTATGTGAATAATAAAACAACCGTTCATGCTGAAGGATAAACACAGACTAACTGATTATGTATTTTATACTAATCACATGCATTACAAAAATTATTATAATAAGCATAGATAACATAATATATGTAGATTGACACAAAACAAAGAGAAACATATATACATAAACATAGAGTAGAACATAAAGTAGAACATAGAGAAGAACATAGAGTAGAACATAGAGCAGAACCATAGATAAAAGAAGATTAGATAAAAGTAGAGTAGTAGAAATGAGTAGAACATAGGGAAAAACATAGAGAGTTTAGTATCAATTTTCATCAATATTGTTTATGGAATCAAATGTCAAAAGAACATTGAAACAAATGAATTGAGTATTGCTAATCAAAAGTGTATTAGTGAAGTTAGTATTGGTTTAAAAGTTTTAATTGTTCAGATATTGTCCAATTACTTGGAAAGCTGGTAGTGTTTAGTCTGTCCATATAAGTCTGAGAAGAAAAAACGATGGCAAATCCAAAATGCGAATTTTGCAGGAAAAAATTTGACGTAACAACACAGTTTAGTTTTAGCACAGTTTCTGTTACAAATTTACCAAAGTCATGTCCACGGGACTTAAAAGCACCCATTTTTCACCTATATGGTTGTATTTCAAGACATATCTTCATTAGTGAGTCAGAGATGGAAATCCAATTTCAGAAAGAAGAAGCAGGATTTTTTCAAATCCCCCAATATTTATATTTGGGAACAAAACTTGTAAATATTAAAATAATCAATAACAAATGTGGATTCGACAATGCACTTATAGAAATAATATCATCCACTAAACCTTTCGATATGATGGTAGCAGATCTTGTACCATACTTACAAGGAAGCACAGAAGAACAGGCAAAAAAATTTGAAACTGTTCTGCAATATTTGTCATCAGTGCTGAATACACATTTTCCATGCAAAATATTCAATTTTGGGTCTTCGGCAACAGGATTATTCCTCAAAACGTCTGATATTGATATGCACGTGGACTTGATACCACCTGTAACGGATTCCGAAGAGTGCATGACTCACCTGAAACAATGCATAGAAATACTTATGGAAAATGACGAATTTGACAATGTTCTAGGTGTACTGAAAGCCAAAATTCCTTTAATTAAATGCGAACATCGTCCTACTGGTTTAAACTGTGATATAAAATTTAAAGGTTCTTTTGAAGTTTCAAATACAGCGCTGTTAATTCATTTTCAATCTTTGGATGAACGTATTAAACCACTGTTGTTACTGATTAAAAACTGGGCTGCAAAACTGAATTTTTTAAGAAGACATGCATTATCCAGCTACGCTCTCGCAATGATGACTGTTTTCTTCTTGCAGCAAAAGCATATGTTACCATCTGTATATTATTTGCAGTCTTCTACCTCTGACCATGGTGAATGGAACACCGAGTTCCAAAAAGATGTAGAGTTTGAAATAGAAAATAAACAAACTTTGTTTAATTTATTGGGGGATTTTTTTGAATTTTATAAAAATTTTGATTTTCAAGAAGTAATAAGCCCGCTAACTGGCACTTCACACAATAGACAGGACTTTGCAAAATCTGAAAACATACCTTTCGAATATGAAAGGTATAAATTAAAATTAGAACACGATGAAGATTTCAGAAGTTTGTACGTAAAAAGTAGTATAGTGATAATCGATCCGTTTGAATTATCAAAAAATATTACTTCAACATCTAACTACAAATTCTTGAAACTGTTTAAAGAAGCTTGCATCGTATCTGCTAAATGTTTTAAAACCGATGATGAATGTTGAAAATGCAAAGTTTTATACAGATATCCTGCTAGAACAAATATAAAGTATAATTAAGCCTATATCTCATCATGGAATAATTATAAAATCATACATGAAAAATAGAAACTTTTTGTGAACATAAGAGTTTATCTCTTATCTGCCTTGGTAAGATATCCCTTGGAGTGCCACAAGGTAGTTTTATTGCTTCCAGATATTATACATCATTTACACTGATCATACAGACATACTGGCACTCTGAAAAAGAACATGTTCTCTAGTCAGTGTTGAAAGTGTAAAGTTTCAACGTTTTTAAAAGACCTAAATCTCATATTAAAGTGTAAAAAGGTCTATATCTCATCATGGAATAATCATAAAATTATACATGAAAAATAGAACCATGTTATCAATACAAGTGTTCACTTCTTATCTGTCTTGGTAAGATATGCCTTGGAGTACCACAAGGTAGTTTTATTGCATCCATCTATTATACACCATTTACATTAACGATACAGACATACATGTTGACAGAGGTCAACAAAAGAGTTCACATCTTATCTGCTTTGGTAAAGTATGCCTTGGAGTGCCACAAGGTAGTTTTGTTGCTTCCAAATATTATACATTATTTACATTGTCGATAGAGACATACTAGCACTCTACAAAAGAACATGTTCTGCAGTCAGTGTTGATGCTTACGTTTTAGAACCGACTGACACGATCAAATATCTGGCTTTACATATAGATAAGAGGATAATCAGGAAAGAGCAGATCAAGGAAAAGGGCAACAGCTGAAAAATATAAAAAGAATATGTCACTGGCAGGAAATTGTTATAGAACTGACTGACACGATCAAATATTTGGACAAGATTAGACAAGAAGATAATCAGGAAAGAGCAGATCAAGGAAAAGGGCAACAGCTAGAAAAGATAATATGTCACTGGCAGTAATGTATCAATTTAAACTGTCCAGTTTAACGATCCTGGCAGATGGTTTCATTTTTAAGAAGATGGTACTTGTGTCTAATTTTATGGCAATTGATTCATTGGTGTATTAGTTACGCTTCTGTTTGCAAGCAAAAAGAAGTTGTTTCTTTGATTTTCATGATGTTTGAAATTATTCAACTTTTGGTGAGAAGTTAATGTCAAGGAGAAGACGTTTGGTGAGATGTTAATGTCAAGTACAATTGTTTTTGATTGGCACAAATTGTTCAAAGAAGGCCGAGACGAATCACATCAAATACGACCAAGAACATCTACTGATGGTCTACAAGTCAAAAAATCGAAGAATTGATACTGCAAAATGATTGATTGATTACTATAGAGTTTGCTGATACTATTGGATTTTCAAATGGCTCAATGTACTTCTATAATGCATCATCATACACTGCACTCGATCTTAGTGATGATTTTGAAAATTCAACAATATCATTCCGCAACCACCAATTTGCTTGATTTAGCATTGTATGACTTCTGGCTATTTTTTGAACTTGAAAAACGGTGGCTGAAAATTGTTTTGACTCGGCCATTCCGAAAGACGAGTATAAGAGTGGTTTTGAAATTGGAAAAAGAGTTGGCATAGTTTTTTTGCTTTTGAGAGAAAACATTTTGACAGGAATAATTAGATTTAGAAGAGCCAGACCAGATTTCGACTACCACAAATATTTCAAGACAAGCAAGAGTTTTTAGCTACCATTATAGATCCATTTTTTATATATAAAGACATATGCCTTATTTTGGCATTTAGCTGCAACATCAGTTTCTTGCAACGTGGATTTGAACCCGTATCCTGTAGTTACAAAACCGTCGGAAACGCTCTATAAATAGACTTAAAACCAAAAAAGTGATGCTGGACATAATGTAGTTCTACCAGGTATTATATTTTTCACAATTTAATATATAAACTAAATAGTACATGAAACTAGGTGTAAGTGGCATTTTGCCTTCAGGCCAAATCCATAGACGTGTGAATAAACGAAATAAATAGATATTAGACAATTTATGATGATAAAAATTTAAATATTTTTTTACAAAAAAAGTAATGATAATAAAGTGTATCCGATTATTCCAAATTTTTATAATTAGACCACATTTCATTGACATTTATATTTCAATTTTAATTTTGGTCACAAGCGATTCTGTTTGGCTGGAAACGTTGAGAAACCCAAAAAATGATTAGAACAGATTTTCTGACAAAAATATAAGCTTCTCCTTCGGGAAGCTAATAATAATGCTTACATAATTTCAAGTTTGAGAACCAGAGATGAATCGATTGTCTGTTGTGATCTATTTGTGTTTTGAGACCACTTTCAGAATCTATTCCAGAGACTAGGGTATTATGCTTATTGAGCACAGATATCCAAACAAACCAATTATTGTTATATAATACAATATATATATATAATATATATATATATATATATATATATATATATTGGTCGATGTTGACAAACCCTCTTAGAAGTAGTCGCACATTAGCCTTGTGAAATGTTCTAAAATTTAAAATATTGGAATAGTTAAATTTTATAATTTTACAAATATTTCAAACTCTAAACAAACTTTAAATTCTAAAAGTATTCAACATTTTAAAAATAATCATAATTTAAATTAAAAGAAAAATAGATTTAAAAAATAATAAATTGTAAAAAAAATATTTCTAATCAATATTTAATTATAATTATTTTTTTTTAGATTTGATTTTTCTTTTTTTTATTTTATTTTGTTTTTAAATTAATAATAAAATATTAAAATTTGAATATTTTTTTTAATTTTAATTTTTATTTTTGTATTATATTTTTAATTTTTAATGTTATTTTTGTTTAATTTTATTTTTTTTTAAATTATTTTAATTTCTTGTTTTTTAAATTCTTAATGTCATTCAATCCTTATCTATTTATTTTAATTTTCTTGAATAATTAACATTTTCAATAATTATTATATAATTTTTTTCTAATAATTTTTTTATTCAAAATGAAGATTCTAATTATAACCAAAATTCTACAACATATTCAGCTCATTTTTTTTCAAATTTTAACAAATATATTTTTTTGATACTATTCAAAAATTTTAAAATATTTAAAATTCCTAATAAAAAAAATCCTCAATTTATTTTTTGCAATTTTAATTTTTTTAGTAAGCTTATTTTAAATTCATTTAAAATTTAAAAATTTTGCTTTAATATCAAATTTTAAAATTTTTATTATATAAATCCTTTAAAATTATTACCTTACTTTAATCTTCATTAATAATTAACATTGCTAAATATATATTTTTTCTAAATCTTATCGTTTTCATTCAATTTCAAGATATTCCAAATTATAATTTATTTATAATTATATTATGGATTCATTCTATTTTAATTCAGTTCAGTTTTTTTTATTTTTAATATTTAAATTATTCAAAACTTTTTATTTATATATTTTTTTTAATAATTATGCAAAATTTAGATTTAATTTAATTATCATCATACATATTTTTCTTTCTAATTTTTTTTTGAATTATTTTATCCAAAATTTTCAAAATATTCAAAATTTTAATTATAATCTGAATTGTACAAAATTTTCAACAATTTTTGTTATAATTATAACGTAATTTTTTTTATAATTTTTTTTTTTTATTTCAAAAATTAACTGCTCTTATTAAATATTGAAAATCAACTACTTTTATTAAGCATTAAAAATATTAAACAATATTTAAAACCATTTTTTCCTAAATATTTAACGTAGTTAAAACATTCAATTAATTTTAAAAGTTTCATTCTTAATTATTCAAATCTTTTTTTTTTAATTACGATATTTACTACATTACAACTGTTAATAATCAACATCTAGCTTAATTAACATAATGATAAATAATAACATAGATTTAAATAAATAAGAGTGCAAAGGATAGATTACATTAAAATAATATCCGTAGTATAATGATTTAATATAAAAAAAGCAAATAATAATAAAAATAAAATTAATAAATAATATAAATAAAATTTCTGAATAATAAAACATTACTAGAAAAACAATAAAATATAACAAATAACAAGGCTGGAACATTTCCCATAAATGTAAAATTGGGTTTATAATGAAACTCTTGTTGACATATTTGTTTCACTAATTTATTTACTTAT